AGTAATGGAAGGAACTGAATTAGATCTTCTTTAATAGTATTTCCAGCTTTAGAATTCTTTGTCTATTCTCTATATTCAACTCCAGAGGTTTCTCAGTTTTGTTTTGTTTTTTTAATTCCTTTGGGTGTAGAACTTAAAGAAAAGCAAGCAATCCAGGGAACAGGTGAGGGAGGCAAAGATCAGGAAAGGGAAACGAGTGGAAAGGAACTTGGAGGAGAATGACAGGAAATAAGCTTACAGATAAGTAATGGGGTGCGAGGACTGAGAGAGGTGGATTAATTTCCTGTATCTCAGATTTAATATGGGGGGAAATAGCTGATGATTTGCAATGTAATTCTGTAAATAGTGTCAGAAGTAATAATCCCTTTAATTTTTTCCCTAAGAATAACATGCCAGGTGACGGCAGGGTTCATTCTGTACAGCAGGCAGAGACCGCGGTGACCCAGGCTGGTGGTGTTGGGAAAGCCCTTACTGGTGAATGAGGAGGAACCCTGAGGTATACCCTGCAGCCTCTGTCCATGGTGTGGCAGGAACTTTGCTGTGTCAATGCTCTTTTGGGTGAAGGGACAAGTTTGTGCCTTTTTTCTCTCTGCCGTACATTCATTCTGTAACATTCTGCCCCAACCCCATGCATTGGTGGCAGAATAAAGATTGTGTTTTCCACCAAGGTTTCCTGCAACTGACTACGTTGCAGTCAATCTGAAAATCTGTATGAATTACTAGCTCGGTTCCTAACTTTATTCAATAGTCAGCAGTGGTTCTCCTAGTTTTCAATGAACAAAAAGCACTCAGGTGTGTTCTGTGTGACATGCTGGGCTCTGAAAGCAGACTGGATTTGAGTGTGTTGAGCATCCGTCTGTTGTGGGCAATTATAAAACATTTCATTTCCTAGGGAGCTGGCATACCATATTGATAAATTGTGGACTGAACTCATTCTGGGAAAGATTGGAAAGCTTGTTCAAAGTGGAATTGGCTGTATTTGCAAACGTTGGATGACACACTGCAGAGAAGACTCCAACCCATGGGGATGGCGGTGCAGATGTCCCTCCCAGGGCCAGTGAGGTGAGGGGACTGTGACGTCACCGCAGTCACTGATCCAGACAGCGTGTCTCTGTTATGACTATGTCTCTGAGACAGGTGCCCCGAGCTCTTTGTTTGGAAAGAAACCTTAGTATTCCTATAAGTCCTAGTTCTGTCAACTTCTGCCCAGAGTTCAGCAAATCCTAAAGGTGTCTCTCATACCTTCCTTGTTTATGAAAATCACACCTTGGTACAATCCTTTATTGGCACAGTAGCTTTTGCAGTAGGAGCCTTCTTAGTTTTTCAAGGAGGATGCGTAAGTGTGTTCTTAATTGAAAAGTAAAATGAAGGGTCATAAAAAGAAAACCTAATACATATAAACCACAAACATTTTCTTTTAACTTAAAATGTAAAATTGTGTATTCATTCAGGAATCATTTGATGTAAAAAGGCAAAAGTCTTTTCTTGGACTAGGTTTGATCATTGGAGTTGTTTTTCAAACACCATGTGTATAATGCATCTTCTATAATTTCCATTTTGGGGTTTCTTTACAGTTGTGGTTTTGTCAGAGTAGAGCAAGAACTTAAAGTCACTCTAACAATAATCTGAGAACGGAGGCCTCCAGATTGTAATGATGATTTTCCTCCAACTTTTACAGTTGTTTTGCTCACACTCAGTTCAACAATATCTTTTGGAGGGCCCTTTTGTCAAGGCTTTTCAAAGAAGCCATCTTCTTCATTTTTTTTTTTTTTTTGAGTCAGGGTCTCACTCTGTCACCCAGGCTGGAGTGCAGTGACACAATCACAGCTCACTACCACAGCCTCGACCTCCTGGGCTCAGGCAATCCTTCCGTGTCAGCCTCCTGAGTAGCTGGGACTACAGACACATGCCACCATGCCTGGCTAATTTTTAAATTTTTTGTAGAGATGAGGTCTTGCTATGTTGCCCAAGCTTGTCTTAAACTCCTGGATTCAAGCAATCCCCCTGCCTCAGGCCTCCCAAAGTGCTGGGATTATAGGTGTGAGCCATTGAGGCCGGCCACCCATCTTCATTTTAAATAAACAGTTCTCTCCCTGTACATTTTTGTTGCATCACATCATATTTAGTAAAATTGTTTAAACATATTAAGTCCAGCAGAGCGTACCCGGGGCTGAGATCAAGCACAACTAATTCTTGGTAAACGTACAGCTCAGCTAGTGAGAGCAGAAAGAAGCACAGTGGCTCTAGAAAGCCTGCTCTGGGCCAGCCCTCGGCGAACAGGGGGCCTGGCAAGAGGGAGGATTGCATAGGGCCCAGGAAAGCCAATCCTTAAGCAGAATTTGTAAGTGTGATCTGTTAAGCAACTTCTATGCTAATACATTTTTTTCCCTATGCATTGTGCTGTGATGGTCCCTAGTAGGGGAACAAAGGTAGAAACACAATTACTGCTAAGTGTTATGTGCAGCAGAGACTACCAGCACAGAGGAAGAGAGAAGATCCCTTCTGGCTGAAATGAACAACCAGAAGCAGCTGTTATGGACTCAACTGTGTCTACCCCAAAAGCTCACAGTCCTAACCCCAAGTACTTTAGACCACAACTGTATTTGGAGATAGTGTCTTTCAAGAAGTAATAAAATTAAAATGAGGTCATTAAGTTGGGCCCTCATCTAATATGCCTGGTCTCTTTGAAAGAAGAGGAAATGTGGGCACAGACATGGATAGAGGGAAGACCACTGAAGAGGAGTGAAAATGGCCATCCACAAGCCCAGGGGAGAGGCCTGAAACGGAGCTATCCCTCTCATCCTTCAAGAAACCAACCCTGCCAACAGACACCTTGATCCTGGGCTTCTGGCTTCCAGAACCATGAAAAAATAAATTTCTATTGTTTGAGTCACCCAACCTGTGGTCCTTTGTTACAGCATCTCTAACAAAAAAATATAGAAGTCTTTTAGGAGGAAGGAGCATTTGATACGAGTTTTGAAGAATGGGCAGTTTATCAGTAGCACAAGATAAGAGGAAGAAAATTTGGGCAGAAGGATGAGTTAGAACAAAGACTGAGAAGTGGACAAGTATAGTAAGTCCTCTATATATGAATGAGTCCTGTTCCGAGAGTGTGTTTGTAAGTCCAAAGTGTTCATAAGACCAACAAAGTTAGCCAAGGTATCCAACTAACACAACTGGCTATACAGTACCAGCTACATCACTGCTGCTTTTATGCTTGCTTCTGAACACCCTGGACTTGAAATAAAGTTATTGTACTACTGTACTCTATATAGTACTGTACAGCAAAGTACACAAAAGCACAACCACTTGTAGAGGATGCACACACATGACAATGTACGGCAGACACATGAACTCACTTATGTGATTGGACATGTGAACACACGTCCACATCTTCGAAAGTTCGCACCTTGAAGGTTCACATGTAGGGGACATACTGTATATGAAGATACTTAACAGACCATTTGGCTAGAAGAGTGAGCACACGTAGGGAAGTTGTGGGAGCAGAGGCTGGGGTGGGAGGTCAAAGCCTCAGGGCCTTGAGGACCACCTATGGGCACTGGGGACCTACCAAAGGCTTTTGGAGACATTGTCCTGTATAGGCTGTCAGAGAAGGCTGCCCGCTACATGCTGGGGTCCTTCATGGCTGTCTGCAGGGTGGTCATGCCTTGGCTTATCAGTGTGGAAGGAGTTGGGTGGAGAAGAGCAGGACTTGCTGTGACAAGACGGTGAGAAAGCATGACTCTCCCTCCTCTAAAAGAGAGGCTTGCCAGGCTTCTTGACATCATTTGCTACTTAGTGGAGTGGGGAGTGGTGGAATTCAGGAGGTGGGCTTGACTCTAGGCTTCTAATAAAAGTCCCAGCTCAATTCATGAGTGGGCAACTAGGCTTTAGTCCATCTTTGGGTATTGTGAGCCTCACATATTGTGCTGTTAATGCTGAAACAGTGTTTTATCTTGAGTGCAAGATAGTAACTCTTAGAGGGCCCATCAAATCATTGGTACTTAATAAATATTTTTAGTAATGACCATTTTCATAGTTTTCCATAGCCTGCTACATAAGAAGAGGTTTCTCAGACATCCATTGACATTAACTGTGACATCTTTTTAATGCCCAGAGAAGTCTCATTTAGGAGCAAGCCCTCTCCCACCCTCTCCTCCTCCAGGAGAGATTCTGATTCAGCAGGTTTAGAATAATGCCTGGGTATACCTATTTACACAAAATTCTGATGTTGATTTTCACATACAGCTAGGGCTGAAGGAACACTGATTACATGCAACTTTTTAGACTTTTATAATAGCTTTGAGAGCAAGCTCAAACTTGACATCAAATAATTTTATATTTTGATCCTATGATTCTAATTGTATCACACTTTATTAGTTTATCTCGGAAAAAGTCTTTGCTGATTTAGGATTCAAATTAATGGCTTCAAAATGACCACTTCTGGTTTTGGCTCGTAATTTAAAGAGATCACCTTCTCTTTCTCCTGATTATCTCTAACCCTAAACAACAAACTAAACAAAACCACCTGAATAAAATACAAAATTTGTTTACTGAAAGAAGTCCCTACCAGGAACCACTCCCAACTAACCCCAATGAAGTGGGAATCCCCAATTCCTTTTACAAATGCAGCAGGTGGGAATACTGCCCATAAACTCAGGTATTTCATAGAAATTGAACTTTATTTTTCTATAACTCAATTTCTATCCCAAGTTCTCATTCCAGCAGGTGGCAAAATCTTAGTTTTAGTCAATAAAGAGTATTTTCTAGCTTTTCCCCAAGGGTCATAGTAAATTACTGGGAATTTAAATCATAGCTAGTCACGAGGGTCAGGGTGGACAGGAGGGTGCTCATCTGATCTGGGACATAACTTTTCCTGCTGACATCCCATGAAACGTCCTCATTCTCATCCGGTCCTCATTGATGTGTCACACCTCACGCCCTGCTGGAAGGTTTCTTTAGGTCTCCACTAATTTCCTTGCATTTTCTGGACACAAGAGGACATGCCTGCTGCTTCCACCCCTTCCTGGGCAGAGGTAACCTCTGTGGTTGCCTCTGGAAAATATAGGTTGCTACAAGAGGCAGCCACTTCAACCCTGAGATCTTGCTACTACCCAGGCTTGGTCCAGGAAAGAGGGAGGGGTTCTTCCTTCCACCATCAGATCACCAAGCCTCTGGGTGTTTGCAGCTGGAGGCTTCCCTGTCAGGACCCCCAGCAGCTATTCACTTCTCACTGCCCCTCCCTTGGTTATGGGGAATATTTCCTAATCCCTGGGGCAGCAAGCCTTGCACTTACACAATCAAACATTGTTTGTGTACTCAAGTGTCCTTTCGGTTTTCCTTTGAGGGTTGGACTGCTGAACAAACCAAAGAAGATGCCTTGATTTTCTTTTTTAGGTGCCATCTCTTGTTCCTGGAGGCAATAAGGCACTAAGCTGAAAGTCTAGAGGTAAGCCTGAGAGTAATGGGAAGAGAAAGTTAGACCTTCTCTGAAATTGATATGATTTAGATTTGGCCGAAATTATGACCAAAGCCAGATAATCACAAGCTTCAGTGATCAGCTTAATGAGGAATTTTGAAGAATGAAAGATAGTTGGCACAGGACTTGGGAGTATAAAGCACTGAGTTTGCCAGAACATCTTCATATACAATAGCTGGAAAATAGAAGATGTTTACTCTAAACACACTAAGAATATAAACAGCAAAGTTGGGGTGAGGGTCTCTTTTTGCATGCTTCTATTTATTCTGTATCTTGTCATAAAATTATTCCCTTACTAGTTTGCAATAATCTCCTTGGAGAAATACTGACTTTAAACTTTTATTGTTATCTTCTATGGACTATAACTTTAATCTTAGAGACATGCTTGCTTGGAATGGGAAATTGCATTTACTCACTATAAGTGTGTGAAAGGAAATTGAATTTGATAGAATGTTTATTGCTGGAAATCAAGTTCACTCACCTAAACTTATAATGCACACACCAGCTCTGTGGCATCTCTAACTTTATTCTGTTATTTTACTCTATGTAAGGGCCTTGACTTCATTTACTTAAAAAGAATCCAGGCCATTACTGAGCTTTCTCCCTATAAAACCTGTTTGAAAAGCTCTGAGACTTAACAGAAGTAAAGAACAATATGAATTTAAGTTTTCTCCACTAGTGAAAGAAAGGGGGGGGGAAGTGATTAATACTTCACCCTGTTATTCTGCCACAAAAGTTGAAATGTCCTTCTGATGTTGAGTAGTGTGATACTCCATGGGTTCTTTTGACTCACCACAGAAAAAAATTTCAGAGCAAATCCAAAGTATAGTTTAAAATAGAAGTTATTAGAAAGAGGAATGCTCTAGAAGAGAATCTCTTAAGAAAGGGCCCATGCTTACCTTTGACAAGAAGCTTTGTATACTTTTACAACCATGATTAAGTAAACCATAAGCTAAGACTGGTGGGCTGCAGGTATCTGGTCATGTGTTTCGATCACCATCTCCTCAATGAGCTAAGCAGGGTGGACTGCAGGTGTCTGGTCACAAGTTTTGATTACTATCTCTTAACCTTCTAAGGCCACAAGGACCTTCTAAATAATTAAATTTATTGCATAACTAGATTTGGACTTTCTTTAGAATGTGTCTGTGTTTTGGGTAGTTCCTTATTGTGTCTGTGATTTACTGCATGGGTCGATCCACATTTTAGCCAGCAAGGTGCTCAGGTCCATGTGCCTGGTCGGTTGGTTGAAGATGATGAATGGATAAGAATGATATCTGAACGTTTATCCTATTTTAATTTAAACTGCCTACAAGAAATGTAACTATGTCTAACCTGCACCGATCCTGCCTCATTTCTTCAGAATACACAACTTCAGAATGATGCCATTGATGGGGACATAAGAACACTGGAGAAAAGCTAAAGAATTAGAACAGAGACATATTCAGTTTCTCAAGTTCAGGTATCCAATACTGTCTTGGTACTTAGGGAACTACTACTATAGAAGAAATGGGTAAAAACATTCACATCAATGCATTGGTTATGTCCTATACCACATTTGTCTCCTTCTCTATTACATAAATTTCATAAAGGCAGAGACTTTATCTACTTGTCTATTTCTTGTATCCATTGGATGACCTGTAGGAGCATGGTAGGCAGTCAATTAATATTTGTTGAAATAAAAAAAAAAAGATTCTCCCAGGGTCTGAAAAGATTTTCATCTTATATTTTAAAAAATACTGTTGAAAAATGGCAAATCTTAGTACAAAGATGTTAAAGTGGTTGTTATGCCCACATTAGCCATGACTGTCCTTAGAGCAAGAGCCCTTCCCTAGATCCCTCAAAACACACCTTGCTAATCTGACACAAGAATTCTATGGAAAGCTAGCTCTGTGTCTGCCCACCTTTGAGTAGATAGGTCCTATCCCTTTGGTAGGAAACAGCTGCATTTTTGCAAATGGGTATTTTCCTATGAGTAGTTGACATAGTTTTGGCATATGAATGGTCAATGAATTATGTAGGTGAGGCCTGGAAGAAATGGAACAAGAAACACCCTAACCACTTTCATTTGGTAGTATATCTCCACAAGATCATGTGTCTGCTGTGGTCTGAAGAAGGTGTGTTGAATCACTATAAAAACACATGATTCTACCTTCATGTCTTTCCTTTCATTACCTCATCACTGCCTCTGAGCATTTTTGACCTAAATCTGAGTAGACAAGCTTAAATTTATATTTTAAAATATTTAAAACTTGTGGAAAGAATAAAAGTAACTCTAACCTTTTCCCTTTTCATTGTGCCACAGCTCAGAAAGTAGGTAGTTAAGCGTAATGTTTGGGTTGGGAGCCAGGGAGTACTGGCACACACCTGTTTGTGTGCATTGCTTGTTTCTTAATAAAATTTTAAAACTAAATTAACACCAATGATTTAACATAGCTCCATCAAGTATCACAGCCTTTCAAGACTAAGAAGTTGATCTCTACGGTCTTTTAGTTTTTGTTTTATTTTGGTTTTTTAATGTAAAAGGTAATTACAATTTGTGTTGAACTTCAAAGTTTTTTTTTAATATACTACATTTACAACACTTTTTTATTTATGCTGAATTTAGGTTGATAATTATCATAATGTCTTTACAATACATTATAACTTGTTATTCAATTTACTTTTCAAGGATCAAAAAAAATTTCCATGAGCTGCCTTAAATGTGCAAAGTTATTTGCTATCATTTAGCTATGTTCTACCCACTTTTCAAGTGGATAGAGGAGTTGAGGCCAAAAAGGTCATAAAAGGGTGAGTTGTTTTAGACTTTAGCAAATCTAATCCATCAACATTTCCATGGACTATTGGCAAGACTTTGCATATTGGTATTCTGTTTTGGGAAAGAAATCAGCATTCGTTGAAATTGAAATGGAAACACTGAGCAATATTTGATTATCAATGTTCCCTTTCCCAGGATGTTCTAGTTTGTTATTCAAAGACTCTATCACCAGAGAGAAGGTTGAATTGTTGCTTTTGTGGAGTCCTGTGCCCTTTGTATATCCTATATTCCTTCAGATAAGAGAAATTAGCATATCTGGGCATTGTATTTGTTTATGCCATATTACTATAAATATTTCTAAAAGAAGATTTGTTTTATAAGATAAATTCAAAGATATACCCTGACACCTGCAACATTAAGTTGATGCATGAATGTATATGACCATAACAGAGCTATGATTTCTATATAGTCTGAGTCAAACAAAATATATGAAAGAAATTAAGGCTTCTGTGGCATTCTACACTGAAATGTGTAGAATTAAAGAAAAAGACAACTTTTTGTTTTCTGACAGTATAAGATGCTTTGTGTTTTGCTTGGCACATTGTGGGGCCCCAATGCATGTTAGCTATTATCATCAAAAACCATACAGACTCCTGTTATGTGGAGGTTTGTCTCTCTCTCTTGACTAGTGGAAGTACACCATGTTATGCAGTATAGGTACTACTTTATATCACAATCTAGAAAAGGAGGGCTAAAGGGAATGCGCTAATCTCCCCATTTTACAGATGGGGACATTGAGACCCCAGAAAGTTAAATGATGTAGACAAAGTCACACAGGATGAATTCCATGGCCCTCAGCCTGGGTGATCTCCCACTAGTCCTGAGCCAGAACTTTCCAGACAGGTGGAGCCAGGCCTTAGCCTCCAGCACGGTTTTTACCACCAGGGAAGAGCAAGGCTGGGTTGAAAGACTTAAAGGAAAAGTGAAACATCCCACAAGACCCACAGAAAGCTCCACGTCCTTTGGGAGCTCAGTTTTAAAGCCCAAATAAAAGTACAATCTTCGGAATCACTTTATCTTTGATCAGGGGTAAATATTTAGATAGTAATACTACACATCTAGAATAGGAACAATTCATTAATTTAAATAAATGAATGGCCAAAGAGCTGTTTTGCCTATAAATGTGAGTAAATTGATTATCAAGTCATCATGAAATGTAAACACAAGATCATGCTCTCCTGTCTCATTTTCTCTTTTTCAGAACATGTGGGTGACAGAGATCTTCACATCTAACACTACTTTGAGGGGAAAAATTAAGTTGCCAGCATTTCTTATGAAGAAAGTTATTTCCCTCACTTGGTAGGATATGTGATCTAAAGAAATTGGGGGGTACAAAGATTATGTCCTGAATCTGTGGTTCATGCTGAGAACCATAAATCTGTTTAAGTTCTGAATCTTGATAGTCGCTCTTCAGAATACTTTTTAATACCAAGGGAAATTAAAATGTAATACCATTCTTTGTTCTTTTATCTAAGGATTTAGAGCTTTTCTTTTCACAATCTGTGATTGGTTCTAATCTGACTCCTCACTTAGGCAGCCTTGAATTGAAACAGAGCCTAGCAGATGACCAGCAAAACATTTCTCTGACATCTCAGAGGTCAGTAGCATTTTTCAAGAAATGTAGATGCAAAGTTCAAAGGACATAGCTGGAAAAGCATGGGAAGGAAAGCTGTTGAGTGTCCTGAATTCTTAATTATCCTTACTTTGAAATTAGAACCACAGGAATGGCGATTTAGAATGATTTACCTTGGTTTTTAGATAAAATTTGTGTAAAGGGGAAATAGATTTACTTCTACTCACCAAATTTCCAAGTGACTTTGTACAATAATTCAATTATAAAGTCACATAGGACAAATGAATTCCCAGGTGGAATTTCTTGAAAATAATGAGTAAAAACCTCCAGAAATTCACTAATGCCAGAAGATGCAGTAATAATTGGTAAATGTCTTGTCTGATGCCCTGTAATGAGTTAGAGAACAAATCACCAAGTCTTCTGTTAATTTATTTATTTTTTGTTTCCCAAACTGTTGACAGATGATAGAGAAACACATGCTTCCTATTGTTTTCCCGTTCTTTTCAAACATTGGTATAAATATAAAAATAATGACTGTCACAAAAACTGGCAGAAGAACTCCGGGATTTTATTTTATATTTTAAGAGAATATCCTAGATTTCCTAGCCTCCAGATGTCTGCCTTCTCCATTATGCTTGGGAGGTCTCATTATTGCAAAAATGACTGTTGGGTTTCCTTTGAATTTGGGTTTTATGAATCTTTCTAATCAATTCTTTTGACATTGCAAGTATTAAAAGCTTTCTATATTATGAGGAAAGGGAAGCTCAATGTTTTCTTTCAAGTTGTGTCTTTTTATTGTTGTTAGAAATACCTACAAATGGATTATTATTTCTCAATCTACTTTTCAACCTATTTCCTAACAGTTAACATAGTGTTTATGAAATGTTGCTGATGCTTTTCTAAATCAGGTTGCTGATTAAGCTGTTTCTTTTTTTATATTGATAAACACAACTTTTGGATTCTTTTTTTTTTTTTTGAGTTGGAGTCTCACTCTGTCGCCCCAGACTGGAGTGCAGTGGCCGCTCACGGCCACCGCAGCCTCTACCTGCTGGGCTCCGGCGATCCTTCCGCCTCAGCCTTCCAAGTAGCTGGAACTACAGGCATGGGCTACCACACCCAGGTAATTTTTTATTTATTGTAGAGATGAGGCCTCTCCAAGTTGCCCAGGTGGGTCTTGAACTCGCGGGCTCAGGCAATCCACTCACCTCAACCTCTCAAGGCGCGGGATTACAGGCTGAGCCACCGAACCTGGCTAACTTTTGGATTCTTAAACAAAACAAAGTTAAAACTATGAACAGGTCAGAGAAAGATGACATTAGAATCAATACCGGTGATCATTAGAATAAGCTTAGTCTGAAGAAGTCAGACTATTTTCCAAATAGTGTATATCTGCAGTAGAGCATAAAAGTGTCCTTGATTTCCAAACAGCAGACACTTCTCAAGGGTCTGTCATTCACAAAGGGCTGGGAAGAATTCAAGAACATATCATTGTTTTGGAGCATCTCAAATGTGGGGCCTTTGAGGGCCCTGCAACAAACCTTCATAGAAAAATGTAGATCCATTTACACTTTAAAGCCAGGCAGATGAACTGGGCTATAATAGTCACAAGAGCTTTTTAGACAGAATAACTCAAGAGGAGAAGAAACATAGGTCTATGCAAACTCCTCCCAGAAACAATGAAAGGTGAGATTTTATCCAGGGCATAAGCACATTATCACATAGTCAATATTCAACAGTGTCTGGGGAGCTGAGTATTATAGTCCAAAAAGAAAAGCCGATTTCCAAAATCAACCTATCCAGAGCACCTGTGCCAACGTTGTCCCACATGGTTCTCCTTTCTATCCATGGCACTGCCAGCCTGCTGCCTCCAGGCTGAAGCTTCATACAACCCAAATCTCCCCATTTCCAAGCCAAAGCCTATGGAAATAAGAGCAGGAGAATTGGAAAGGAAAAGCAGTTAATTGTGTGTCATTTAGGCCCAGTGGGAACATGGTGTAGGCAGATAGAAACCTGATTCTTGGCCTAGTAGTACCTGGGGAGATGGTTGGTGTAATAATTCCTTCAGGGCTTTGGCTACATCTCCTGTGAATAAAGAAGTTCTCGATGGTTCCTTTGCTGCATTTTGGCTTGGAAACTGATTTGATTTGAGTGTCAGTGCCTTACCTAATTGCACTGGTTGTTTAGAGAAGCAAAGTTCAGAATCGCACTGGCGTCAAGCCAGTCCTGTAATCTAGTCAGGAATTGAAATGTCTGTCTTATTCTGATGGCACGGTGGCTGAGGGCAAGCTGAGAACCAGGTAATGGAGCATCAGGCCCTGCTCTGTCACCAACGAGATATGTGACCTGAAACACATTTCTCCCAGTCTCAGTTTCTCCATCATTTAAACTGGGATAATAATACCCACCTCGCAGTGCTGTTGAGAGGACTAAACAATGTTTGCGAATACCAGCTCCATGCCTGACATACAGAAAGGGCTCAATGAAATAGTTACTATTTTTTTGTGTGTGTGACAACCACAAAATTTGATTTTCAAAAGACCACAGACATCTAGTTCTTCCATTATGAACTTCTGTCTTCTACCCTGAGGAGTGCCAGGTCAGAAGAAGAGAGCCACCATTTTATGTTAATTACAATGTTTTAAAAACTTAGTATGCAATCCATTGCAGTGACATACCAGATGTATTTGACACCTGAAGTGGATCATGTTTTAACAACTATATGATAATATTCTTTTCAGTAATGATCATATAAGAATTGGTAATAATCATTACTTTCTCAATTTGTTCCTGAGTTTTGAAACAAACAATAAACAATTCTTTAAAAGAATTCAGAATCTCACTCTGTTGCTCACGCTGGAGTGCAGTGGCAGAGTCACTGCTCACCACACACAGCCTTGACTTCCTGGGCTCTGGCAATCCTTTGGGCTCAGCCTTCCGAGTAGTTGGGACTACAGTCGCGCACCACCAAGCTCGGCTAATTTTTAGATTTTTTTTGTAGAGATGAGATCTCGGTATGTTGCCCAGGCTGGTCTCAAACTCCTGAACTCAAGAGATCTTCTTGTCTCGGCCTCCTACAGGGCTAGGATTATAGGTGTGAGCTGCCGCGCCTGGTCACAATGAACAATTTCAATAGAAAAACAAATTTCAATGTTAAAGATTCTCAAATTCAGTAAAATATTCCAGGTATGAACTAAAACTTGTACTTGCCAAACAAAAATATCATACCTCAACGTTCAGAGCTTCCTTGTTCTAAATTTGAAACACAAAACCTCCTAGCAGTTACACAGAAATGAAGAATTGACTCAATTCAAGAGCTCTGTGTTTTGCTTCTGCACTGAGCTACCATTGTTGATTTTGAATCCACTGTTTAAACATAGGAAGAGATGGTACCTCCAGGGTTGAAGACAAAACCTTCAGGGTAACTAATAGCTCCAGCAATTTTGAACCCTTACAAGTTTGCTGTGTAACAAATTCCTATGACTGAGTGGGCTGTTGGGAGGTGGGGTAGGGGCAGGTGCCTTGAATAACTGGGAGTTCCTCAAATGAACTTCCATAGAACACCACATTATTTATTTATTTATTTGAGTTGGAGTCTCACTCTGTCTCCCAGGCTGGAGTGCAGTGACTCATGGCCACCCAAGTGTTGACCTGCTGGACTCAGATATTCCTTGCGCCTCAGCCTTCCAAGTAGCCAGAACTACAGGCACATACTACCATGCCCTGCTAATTTTTTAATTTATTGTAGAG